CACTCTTTCTGCTAAACTCGCCGATTTTTACATAAAAGAGCGAAACTGGAAGCAAAAGAATGAAGGAAGCGAAGAAATAGCCAAATATGGAAGCTGAGCCAGAGCGAAGAAGACTGAGAGTTCGAAAGCCTCTCTCAGATTGCACCAACACTATAGCCAATACCAAGACCAGCACCAACACCAACGCCACAGCCACCTCTTCTCAATCGTCGTCAGCCTCCACCGCCACACTCAAACGCCTGAATCCCAACCTCTCCTCGGCCACCAAGACCCTCGTCGCCGCTTTAAACCCTAAGCCCTCTGCTCCGCCGCCCCCAATTCCTTCCACGCCTTCTCGCCCTCCTCCCATTTCGACCTCTTCTTCTGGTAATTTCTCTGCCCCCTTTTGCGTTTCTTCCTTTTCCATTTGGATTGGGCTCCGATTTCTCTTTTTGGTTTGTTAATTTCGATTTGGGAATCTAGGGTTTCTCATTATCTCTCCACGTGTTGGAAATTCAGCTCTGAATTAGTGGAAGCCCACAACGATTCAGTTAGAATTTGTTTATATTGATTTTTACTCGTACCCTGAAGCTGTTTTGAAGGAAAGGGTTCCTTTCGATACTTGAATTGAACTTGATGCGATGCTTAATAAATACAAACTATCAACTCCTGTAAATAAATTTCTTTGGAAAATCTATGTGGTTTGAGACCTTACGGGTAGATTTTGGTTTTTGAGTTTAGGTACCAGTGACTGTGACGGTTTTGAGGCTTGTTCAGTGTACACTCGGAGACAGACTGCACTGAAAAGGAAGAGTAAAGACAAGGAAAACACTGTACCCTTTAGTTGTCCTCCTGCACCAAAGATCCGGAATATATTGTGAGTCTCTAACTGATATGAGTAATGTTCCTATACTGTAGCATTGTATTATAAATCATAATATATCTGTTAATATACAAGATGGGGGTGGGTTAGTTTGGTTTTCAAATGTAAGCTACCTTGTCATAAGGCGCTATTTATCAAGCCATAAGGGGCGTTGCTTGTATAAGATTATGATAAGATATTGCTTCTCGAGTTGTAATCCGATGATAACATATATCACTTGAGTGTTCTTCTGATTTGGGATGCTTCTTTCCCATATCGTGTGAAGTTTTACTAATTCTGTTGTACATGTTCCTGCCATTTGAAACAGGGGTAAATTGAAGGAAGACGGACATAGCAGTCTATCAAAGGAATCCACGGCTCCTCGTAAAAAGGTTTGTTAAAGTTAATATTAGTGACTTTTCTGTTGTTTTGGGTAGAAACTGCTACTTTATATCTGGCTTGGGGCCTGGTTTCTACAATCAATTGGCCAGTGTTTATCTTTTATAAAAATGTTATGCCTTCATATCAGTCCAAAACTACATACTGTGCTTTCTTAAGGAGAACTTGTATATACCCCAAAGGCCCCAAGAATTTCAAACAACATGGTAGAGTGTGTCTATGGAAGGATTGCTTATTTCTCAAATGTGAGGTTGAGTTGTTTGGGCTATATACTTAGAGATAAATTCTCCTTACTGTGGCAATATCAACGGCTGAATATGGAATAGACTGTTTATATAATCTTTCACTTACTATTGAATGGTAGTCTGTGTATTCTTTTTCACTTGTTTAAACAATTGTTACAGTTATACTGGACCGAAGTTTGTTCTAGGAGTTTGTTTGTTTGTTCAAACAACTGAGTTCATGTTTTTTCCTAAAGGGACAACAAATCCCACTGTACAATAAAGTCTGGGTTTGTAGTTATTCACTTTTAATTTGTGCGTAATACTTCTGCAGAAGCAGTGTGCGGTACCAGCTGGGAAAGATGTTTCCATGCATGCCTTGCCACAAGATTTCATTGAAAAGCAGAGAGCGTACTTTGCCGAGATTGATGCATTTGAACTGCCAGAAGAGGAGGTCGATTCAGTTGATTAGAGTAAAAATGGAAGACCTGAGCTACGTAGTGCATCATATAGGATATAAGCAAGGCAGCCTAAACCATTTAGTATTCTCCGTATAGTCAGAATATAGTGTGCAATTGACTAATTCTGCTGTCACTAACTACCACCGCTCGCCAAGTACATCAATGTAAGTCCATGTTAGTTGTAATGCTTTGTCTCTCTATGTATAGAGAGAGCTTGAGAAGAAGAAGAAGAAGAAAGGAAGATTGGGCAAGTGAATGAAACAAAGTACTGAGAAAGAGTATAAAGGTATACAAAGACAACTTAGAGAGACCAGAGAAACCCAGAAGACTGTATTTTGTCATAGATTTTGTAATACGCGGAATTATGAATCACTCTTTGTTATGAAATCTGAGTTACGCTTAGTTTTTTTTTAAAGCCAATAAACGATAAAAAAATTTATTCCTCAAAAGTAGCGTTAACATCAGTTTCCAGTGTTGGAAGCAGCCAAATGGGAGGCACGAAATCCCGTACACATTAACCATAAGATTTAGAAAAATCTGCTACTAGTCATCTCATACCCATTATTTGCTAAAGACTAATTACAAATCATTTAAACTTAAAGCAGCCCCTGTCGCTTTAGATCATTGTATGTCTTCTTATTGTAAATGTTACCCTCTTCATCTTCATACTCTTCTCCAAGATCCGGGCACCACAAGTTTGCGCCTTGCCGTTCTTGTATCCTCTTCCACAGCTCTTTTGCTTCCTCAATTGATGTGATCTCATTGAAACTCTTGGTCTTTGGTATGCCAAGGCAACGCATCCCGCGCTTATGGCACTCTCCATTAAATGTATCTCAAAAGCTCTGCGCCCAAAGTAACTGGAATCCCCACATATCTCACACTTGAATTCCTGACCGAGACCATGAAGCTTATACATCCAGTAAGATATTATCTTCCCATCCGGACCCAGTGGCAATTTGAGTGGGTTGTGAATCTGCTGCTCATTCTCCTCGTCATGACTTTCGGTTTCGATTTCTTCCTTCTCTTCAGGTTCTGCTTTGATTTCTTCATATGTCAAAGCCTGTTTCTTCACAATGTTGTCTTTCGTTCGTTCAACAGCTTCCTTCAGTAAGCAGCATAGTTTGTTCACTTTGCCCTCCAATAAAGCAATCTCTTTTAAATTGATCTCACAACCTGTTGTTCTGAACCTCCTCCCGAACCTTTGGAAAAATGTTTCCTCTCCAACTTTGCCAGAGGTGTGCCCTTTGTAAGGAAAGATTAACTTGATCTGCTCCAGTGCCTAGGCTAATACAGGCAGCCCAAATAGTTTGAATAAGACCCCCAGCACACATGACAGTGCCACAATTCACAAATACCACAGGGTCATAAAAATTACAAAAGCAAATTCATGCATTTGTGTGTAGTGTACAGAACACACAAAGGGGAAAGCTTTTTAAAACACTAAATTAAGATACCAATATATCACAGTGACTCGAAGCAATCGATCAATCAGAACCTGAAGGAACTAGGATGCTACTTAACTAACTTGACCTTGCAGCCGAGGGCTCCGTCTCAGTGGAAGCTGCCATTATGAGTGCCGACTCGCTTAGCTGAAGTAGCGGTAGCCATGAGAGAGCGAGAGAGGTGAAGGGACAGGCGATGGTGGTGGCTCGAGAAGACGAATGGTAGCGTATGCTTAAACTCACTTTCCACTTTTAACACTTTGGTCCTGTCGTTTCAAGTTGGTCAATTGAGTTGTGGAGGGCCAGTCCAGTCCACAAACAGCAAAGTCTGCGTGCTTAGGTCTGCGTTTAACGGCAGTCGGCCTAGTATACGGGCCATGCATGCAGTGCAGGGTATCTAACAAGATTTTCAAGCTCTGCATCTTCAATAATGATTGTCCAGGAAGATAGTATACTTGTCTGCAAGTTGTCTTTTTCGGATGGTGATTGTGTTATGGACGGTAGGGAACTCATCATTTTAGTATGTTGTTGTAGGGCCTCCCTCTGATGACATTGGCAAGTTATTGCGCACTGTAACTGGTTCTGCCATGAACGCATTTTTTTTTCTTGAGAGAATTGCCTGCTTGGTTGGCATTGGCAGAAACTGAATGAAATAGATTGGGTTCAACGTCAGTTTGCTTATTTCAAGTGTTTTAGTTGCTTTTCTCTGTCAAGAAAGAAATGCACCACATGTTTTTCTTCCCTAGACTAGTGCAAGCAAATAAATGCAGAAATTATTCATGAACAATGGCTTTCGGGTGGGCGGGCATGATTTCCTATGAGGAAGTTTTTCAAGGAGTTTAGGCAAGGAATTAGCATCAGGAAGCTAAAAGAACATACTATTTTCTGCGGAGGTTTCTGATGATCAGGCAGTGTTCGAAAAATCGGCCTAGGCGGCGACTAGGCGGCCTAGGCGGTCTGGGCGATTCTAACCCAGAAAAAAAACGCCATTTTGTAATCTCCAAGGTCAAGGAAGAGATGATGATGGTGGCTCAGATTTTGGGGTGGCGAGATGAGGATTGAAGAAGACGAGAGGTCACAGGGAGGGGCTGTAGACGACTCATGTTAGACTTGGGCCTCGGCTTCTGTTGATGGGAAAAACAGAAGGAGTGATGGGCTTTCAATTGGGCCTCGTATTAAAACACCAATAAAACCAAATGCCCTATTTAGATATATTATTTTGATTTGGATTGGGCCTCGGAAAATAAAACATTAAATGAATTTTCTATTATGAAATCGCTATAGCAACCACTAATAAGTAACAGGTAACAAATAAATATTATACAAATATTTCTCCAACACACACACACACACATATATATATATACACAACTGCCCTGCAATGACTTGGCAAAGGCGGCGTCGGTGGTGGACTCATTGTAGATGCGTGACCGGAATGATGTGCATCTTGCCAGGCCAATGGTGTGTGAACCTGCCAATGCCATAAACAACTCAAGTGAGCCTGAGCAAACCCTTGTTCTGTTCGCTTTAATATTTGGCATTCATTTTCAGCTATGATTTAATGTCGAAAGATTGAATTTTTTTAACCTGAAATAGCGACCAAGTCTCTTAACGAGAGATTTTGTGCTGCAAAGTTTGAAATGAGACTGCTTATATTGGAAGTGGGTGGAGAGATGGAGGTGCTGGCAGCACTTCTGCTAGCAGTTGTAGAATCTCTTCTTCCCAAGCAAACTTTCCATGAAGGGCCTCCTAACTGTGAATCAAATGCCAATGAAGAAGATAATGACCACATTATGTGGAAATTCGAGTTTTTGGAGGAAGAAATTAAGATGGTTTTCTTACATAAACTACAGAGTCACGTACAGCCAGAGCTAGAAGATCAGTACATGACACCACTCCGAGGCATGCCTTCTCAAGCTTGGCTTTGATGTGATCAACAACTTCAAATCCTCTGATGGAGTTGTTGTTGGGAGCTGCGGTTTTCTCACCTACAAAGCTTGATGTATCGTCCAACAGCACCGACGAATCGCAGCCCTGAAATTTGTCAAAGAAATTAAGCCAAACCCTTTTGTTAAGAGAGGCAGAATGAGCAAAATGCAAGTGAAGCTAGATATATTAATATCAATGTTTTGAAAGGCGAGGCGTAGATACAAAGCGTTTTTATCCGCGCTATGCAAGGTGTAAGCCTTGAAGCGTTGAGGCGTAAGCCTTTTGAACATTAATTTATTCTAATACACAATTAAATTATACTACTAATTATTATTGAACCCTGATATAATGTATTAAGTATAATCAAATATAAGTACTACTACTAATAGTCTCATTCATGCATAATAATCAATCCCTAAATCTAAAATATTTATTCAACATAAAAACAAAAACACAATTCAGTTTATATATTAGGGTTATACTATAAATATATATATATATATCCACGTTAATATATTAATTTAGGAAGAAAAAAAAAAAAAGGGTAAGTAGTGGTGTTTCAGTGAAAAAGGGTTAGTGGTGTTTCAGTGGAGGCGTTAAGCATGTTGGTTGTTAAAAACAAAAAATCATGATTTAAAAATAATAAAAAAAGGCATGCTGAACGTCAGTTTCTTTAAGTAACCTCAGTGCTAAACGTGCGTTTTATTAACTATATGAAACGAAGTCGTTTCATTGCCAACGAACCCTTAAAAAACACGCTTGGTCATCTTCTTCCTCTCGCAGCCGCTTGCAGAACAGCGGCCCTTCGTCCGCCTCGCCACACGTTGCCACGCTTCACCACGCCTCTCCACGCCTCGCGGCGCTAAATGTGCAACCTGCTAAATAGATGAACGCTTCAGGCGATTTCCTTCCGCCTCGCTCCGACGCGCGCTCCGAAGCGCGCTTAGGCATGCCTTTGAAAACACTGATTAATATTAGTGGTGATTCACATTTACAAAGCAATCATGGAAATGAAGCCATACGACAATATTATATTTTCCAGTAGATTTCTGTTCCTTTTCCTTCAAAAACACAGGATGTATATGTATCAGTTGGACAAACCATGTCATGTCACCATTGTGAAATGAAATATGCTTAAAACCAATTACTAAAGAAAACAAAAAATACGATGGAAATTCAACCAATGCAACTCTCTGCAAGTATCATTTTTCCGAAATCGACCCAAGTTCAATCTATGTGAATAACATTGCGGCTCTCCTCAAATCGTCTTCGTTAGTGAAGTGAACAAATAGAAATACAAAGAACACAAGTGGGGCTGGAGCATCAAAATTCCAACATGATATCAGTACGGACAAACAGACATCATTTCCACACAAGGCAAAACCTCCCAAGAAAATTTTCACCGGTGATCTTTCAACATACACTACTCACACACTGCCCGTCTCCTCCTCATCCTTCAGAGGTCTCATTTTTTTGTAGCGGCTACTAGAACCCTTTTTACCGACAATCTCAGGGATAGTGTCTTCCATAACCTTTGGGCTTGCAAAGTCGAAATCTGAAGCGGATATGACTTCGTATATAGGATTTTCTTTTAACAATGCTGCTATCTCATTTCGGGTTCTCACTTTTTCCCCTTGGGTGTAATATAATAAGCATCCAGTTTGGAATAATATTTAATGGAGGGTAGGGAATTCATCATTTTAGTATGTTGTTGTAGGGCCTCCCTCTGATGACATTGGCAAGTTATTGCTCACTGTGACTGGTTCTGCCATGAACGCATTTTTTTTTTCTTGAGAGAATTGCCTGCTTGGTTGGCACTGGCAGAAACTGAATGAAATAGATTGGGTTCAACGTCAGTTTGCTTATTTCAAGTGTTTTAGCTGCTTTTCTCGGTCAAGAAAGAAATGCACCACATGTTTTTCTTCCCTAGACTAGTGCAAGGAAATAAATGCAGAAATTATTCATGAACAATGGCTTTCGGGTGGGCGGGCATGATTTCCTATGAGGAAGTTTTTC